ACTTCACTCCAGGCTCTCCTTGATTTGAGGGTTTGCGTTGAAAAATCTGCCGTGATTCTGATGGGCTTTCCTTTGTAGGTGATTTGTTTCTTTTCTCTGCCTGTAGAATTTTGTTCTTCTGTTGGGTTTCTGGGATCTTGACTTTTATATGTCTAGGTGTAGATTTTTTTGATCATGGCTGGTTGGAGTTCTATGTGCCTCACTTATCTGTATGTCCAATTCTCTACCTCTGTCTGGGAAGTTTTCTATTAGTACTTCTGTGCACAGTTTTTTTATGTCAGTTGTACTTTCTCCTGTTTTTTCTTGGACTCCTATGAGTCTTATGTTATTCTTCTTTATATCATCTAGCAGCTGTTGGATTGAGTTCTCATGGTCCCTTACTATCTTTAAGAAATGTCTGTTTTCATGGTCCTCAACCGTAATCCTGTCTTCTATATCTGATATTCTGTCTTTAGATTCTCTTAGTCTGCTCTGCATGCTTTCAATGGAGTTTTTAATATCTTGAATATCTGTTTGAATCTGTTTCATGGAATCCATGTCTTTCTTATGTTCGGCGATCATGTTTTCCATTTCTTTCTTATGCTACAATACATCTTAATTCCTTTATTTTTCATCACCCAACACTTCCCTCCCACCCTACTTCTTCCAATTCTTGGATCCCATCCTACTTGCTAAAATTCTCCTTTCATCAATTTCCCCCCTTAAATCTTTTTTTCCCCATCTGCTTTCCTTCCCCTTCCTCCTTTCTTAATCTTTTTTTTTTTTTGGCACTGAGGATCAAACTCAGGTCCTTGTGCTTGCAAGACAGGTGCTGGAACTACTGAGCTAAATCCCCAGCCCCCTTCTCCCTTAATCTTGATCCTCCATCCACTTGGAAAAGATCCCCTCAATTCCTATTTATCTATCTTCTATTCTGCTCTTTATCACAGGGTTTCTTTCAGTGTGAGTTCTTTTATGCTTTAGGAGGCTACTGGAGCAAGAATAAGTCTTACCACATTGTTTACAATCAAAGAGTTTCAGTTTGGTGTGAGTTCTTTCATGTATTTGGAGAGCAGTAGAAGAACTGAATGGTTTTCCACACTGTCCACATTCATATGGTTTCTGTTTGGTGTGAGTTCTTTCATGTATTTGGAGAGCAGTAGAAGTGAATGGTTTTCCACATTGTCCACATTCATACGGTTTCTGTTTAGTGTGAGTTCTTTCATGTATTTGGAGAGCAGCAAAAGAAATGAATGCCTTTCCACATTGTTTACATTCATAGGGTTTCTCTCCAGTGTGAGTTCTTTCATGTGTATGGAGGGCACTGCAAAAAGCAAAGCCCTTACCACATTGTTT